AAATACTATACAAGGACTGACTCATCTCTGTTAAAGAATCACCAGTGGTACTATCTTTTTGATCAACTGCTTGTTGATAACCAAAAGTAGGAGGTTTTGGCAATGAATTGAATATGGTATCAATATTTTCATTCCTATTCTTGGATGCAACATTTATGCCTCTTCTATGCATTGTCTTTGTTGGTGAGTGGCTTAATGAAGAGGATGAGGATGATGGAACACTTCCAAAGACAAATAATTTCTCTTCCGATGCTGCCAATGATGAAGTGGATGATGCATTATGAGTATTTGAACTATTTGAATTGTTAGTAGCTTGATGATCATCACCACTATTAGTACCAAAAGGCTGAGAAGTATTAAAAGAACCAAATATTGGTTTTTGTTGACTACACAGGACTTTAGAAGTATCATCAAACTTGAAACCACCACACAGAGTTGAATTTGAAGAAGAAAAACTATTTGAATTTGATGAGGAAATTAGAGTTTGATCACCACCACCAAGACCACCACCAGAAATTCCAAACGGTTGTCCCGATGCAGTAAATGTAAATGCAGCTGCTCCAGTCTTCTTATCACCACCACTACTACTACTTCTTCTATTAGCAGTAGTATTAAGAAAATAACCATAATTTAGATCAGAATCAGGATAAATATAATGATGATCATTAAAATTGCTTTGAATAAAATTCATATTGCTGCTACTGCTATTGCTGGTGACATTTAGGTTTTTTCTCTTTGGATTATTACCCTCCACTCTCACATATCGATCATCTGTTGATTCTTCTTCTTCGTCTCCAGAAGAGGATGATGATGGTGATGATGGTGATGAGGAGGAAAAAGGTTCTTCTTCTTCTTCTTGATAATCTTCTTCATCAGATGAGTAGGACATTTTTTTTTGAGTTTTGTAAATTCTCGAATAATTGAACCTTTGTAAAGTTTTTTTCAAAAAACTGAGAATTGTTTGATCAAAATGTCATTAATCATTGTGAATTTGTCCATTCCAAATAAGCTTTTTTGACAAAGCTGTAGTGAGAAGGCGCCAACCTTTGTTCTCCCTTCTATTCTCTTTATTTCACCTTTGATATTCAATACTAATAAATAACAGAGAATAAAGCAATTTGATTGTAAAACAATGTAAAATATCTTCCCGCCAAAAGTGTGCGACTTTTCAAAAGAAAAAAAAAATGTCGACACTAACCAAACAGCAATTCTATGAAACGTTGGTGCATACGTGGTGGCCAGAGGATAAAATCACAACCTTCAATAAGTGTAGAGTGTTGGTGTGTGGAATGGGTGGACTTGGATTGGAAGTGGCAAAGAATTTACTCCAAAATGGAATTGAACAATTAACACTGATGGATTCAAAGATGGTTTCGTATGAGGATTTGGCAGATTTTTATTCGATTGTTGCCGATTCGAAGGAGGAAGAAGTGATTGGAAGAAATAGAGCGGAGAGAGCAATGATTGTGTTGAATGGATTGAATCCATTTGCAAAAATTAATGTGAAAGATGGTCAAGTTGACAGCTTGGCAGGTGATGTGCAGTTTTTGAAAGAGTTTGATTTTGTTATTTGTACTGAACATTCTCTTTCATCACTGATTGATTTGGCTCAAATCTGTCACGATAATAATATTAAATTCGTGGCATCCGACATGAAGGGCTTATCAAGTTTAATATTCTATGATATGGGCGAACACAAAATCAAAGATCTGAACCCTGGCTTCAAAGAAGGTTGTTCAATTAAGGATATCGTCAATGGAAACCCAACAAAAATTGATCTTTTCCCAGATGATGAATTTAATAAGGAAGAGGGAATGAATGTTCATCAAAATATTGTCTTTAGAAATGTTAGGGGAATGACGGAATTGAATGAACACAAGGCGGTTAGAATCAAATCAAAGATTGGAAATCGAGTGGTTGTAGATTTGGATTCTACTAATTTTGGAAAATTCGAATTGGGGGATGGCTCAGCATATTTCATGAAATGTAATGTTACTGGTCTAGATATAAGAT